AAGTCTGGATGAGTTCATGAAATATTTTAATTGGACTGTCATTCTAAGTAAGGATTTACAGTCATAAATAGGTTAATCCAATCCAAATTAGAAGATATTTGTTGTAGTAGAATGAAAATTTAATTAAAACATTTCATATCAGATAAAACTGAAAATTTTAAAATTGAACGAATATTGGAATGATAATTTATAAATATGAAGGATTTTTTTTTTATGGAATGTTTTTTCAACTTTCATTTCTCGTGGGAAAAGAACGAAAATGTGGCAGTGTATATTTACAGGTTCTTAGAAAAATAGAACAACGGGTGAGGAAAACTGGTAAGCGCTCGGTAGCGCTGTGTAAGTGTTAATTGTGCGTTAATCCGGTACCGAAATAGCGGTGGCTTACCGCTTCATGGTTGGTTGACGCTTTACGGTAAGAGTGCTCGTTGAGTCCGATGTCACGCGTTGTGGAAAGATGGGCGCCTCGACTGGAAGACGACATAACTGAGCTATATCTTTGGTTGTTCATATCTCAACCTCTCCTTGATTGGAGAGGGAGTGCGACAAGGAGCTATCTATGGGAATGAATTTTGTCTAGTCGATATAAAAATTATCCTAATGTGATGGGATACTCATTGAAATTGGGATATTCATTACTGAAACTGCTAAAATGCCCCTTGGTTGTAACTAGATCTCGTTGGCTGCAACTGTTAGAGTTCGACGCGACTCGGATTGACTCGGCACTGCGTTCCTGCTGGGAGTAGTTGAAACTCATCCCGTGTAAGAAACAAACCTCCATTTTGTGGCTTGTATCCATGGTTGCAACCTCTTCAACCGTTTGGTTGGCACAAAAGGGAATGTTGGTGGACCTCAAGTATTGTAGATGCAACTGCCATTTGAATCTATGGTTCATCTTTGGTGGGACTGCCCCGCCTCTTACAGAATATGGAAATGATGCATAACCCGCTGGGCTCGCATCTCAGGTCCGACCTTCCCATGGAATAAAGAATTGACATTGCTGGGAGGTATCCCAGAGAACTCTAAAAGACACTCTGGTTGGGGCTACGTGGCTCAGGTAATACGCACAATTATCTTCTCAATCATCTGGCAGTGTCGGAACGATCTGTTGTTCAATGACAAAGAGTGGTTGAATAAGCAAATTAGAGGTACCTTTTCTCTCTTGCTGCGTCACTCCATTCAAGCCGACTGGATACACAAAATGTCAAGAGCAAAATCCCCACACCAAGGCATCAAATGGTTTAGGACCACCTGCTGCCTGGGTAACTCACTGGCAGTAATTGATATCGAGAGTCGGTTACAACCAGATTCATGGGTTCTGATATGAGAAGGAGGTTTACCGACCTAGACTGGTCGGTTGATGGTTCGGTCGCAGGAGACAGGCAGGGGGTTGTTGGTGGAAGGAGCGTCAACTTTTACTAAGGGATCTCTCAAAGATCCCTCCACCATTTGTAGGTGGACAGGTAGGTAAGTAGGTAATAGCTCTGTCTTTTTCTCATGCATAAGTAAGCTCCTTGGTTAATTTTGGATTGTTTGGCTCAGAGTTTGAATGTAGGGACAGCCTTTTATGTTGGACTGTGTGGTTTGTGATTCTTTGGGTTATTTGTTGTTGGTTTCCCTTGTTTTTTCTTAGTGAATAGGCTAGGGTAAGGGGTCTGGATAGCTTAGAAGTATATAGGGTCAATTTGTTTTTCCATTTTGGTTT